CCTGAGAGCTGTCCCCACGCGTGGCACCGGAGATGCAGCTCCCCCACTGTGTCCCCAGGGCTCAGGTGTGGCCTCCTGAGGGCTCAGGGCCCTGCCAGAGCTGCCCCTGCAGCGGGGCTGGTCGTGGACACACGGACAGGGTCGGGCGCCGATGGTTGGCAGCGCTGGTGGGGACGCTGCTGCCTCCACTTCCCTCGCTCCCAGGGCTGGGCTGAGGTTGCTGGAGCTCAGGGCGAAGGTATTTTGGGGAGGCAGAGTGGGATCCTGGTGTCACCGGCGCCCTGAGCACCGTGTTTGCGGAGGGGTCGTGGTGGGGCTGCAGTGGGAGGGGACGAAACCACCCCCTGTCCCCTCGGGATGCTTTCAGTTGCCTCTGAGAGGAGGGGAAGGTCACCCGCTGCTCTGTGATGCTGAAATACGGCCCTGAAAGGGAGTTCTGGCTCTCTCTGGCTGACCTGGATCCCAGCTGAGCTGGGATCATCCTGGGACAGCCAGGAGAGGCCAAACGCCGAGTCTGTCCCGGGTTTTTTTTTCCAAGGGAGCCTTCAAGGATCCCTTTTGGCTCTTCCCTTCGCCTGTCCCGTGGTGGGTCAGGACTCAGCGTGGCTCTTCTTCCATCCCCCAGGCCCTGGAGAAGCCCCGGGAAGGAGGAGGGGGATGTTCAGTTCTGTTCTCTCCTTCCCTCCCCCGCGAGGTTTTTCCGGGGTGGGAGGGAGCGCAGGAGCAGCTCCGGCTCTGGCTGCCCATGCGGGCACCCCCCGGGAGCAGCAGGAGGAAGGGCTGGAATTTTGGGCTGGAATTTTTGACCCTCCCTGCCAAGCAAGAGGCCTCGGCGTTTCCACCTGCTGCTGCTGCTGCTGCTGCTGCACCAACCACCTGCCCCGAGCCCACGCAGAACCGCCTGTTTGTTTTGTCTGACAGCGAAACATCCCCCAAAGGGCCCGGGGGAGGGATACCCGCGCTGCCTTAATTGCCTTTAATGAGCCTGCCGGGGCCGGCTGCCAGCCGGGGCTCTGCCAGGGCCGGGGCTCGCCCCGTGGGAACTGCACGGGTGTGGTGGGAGCGCGATCCCGGAGCTCCCCCAGCCCTTGCCATCGGTGTCCCCGGGGCTGGCTGGGCACGGGGACCCCCAGGGACACGATGCCACCTTTTTTTTTGGGGGGGGGGCGGGGTGTGCCCTGGGGGTCTCACAGAGACAAAAGAGTTTCGTCAAGTGCCCCCCTGAGCATCTTTCCACGCAGAGCAGGGTCTGGTGGGTCCAGCTGCCTCTGTGTCGTTGAGTTTTAGGGCCCTGGAGGTGTCTGGGGTTGACTCCAGCCCTGATCCCGAGGGGTTCCGAGGGCTCGAATCCCCCAAACCCCTCCCGGAGTTACAACTCGGCGTTCCGGCCACCCTGGGCTCGCCAGGGGTTTGTCTGCTCTGTTCATTCTCCTTTCCCTCCTCATCCCAGAGGGATTAATCCCTCTTTTCTGGGTTACCCCTCCCCAGGGCAGCGTTGCTCCATGTGGAACCCACACCCACCGCGCCCTCTGTCCCCACCTTCTGCCGCCTCAGCGGGACCCGAGGCCTCCTCCGGGGCTTTTCCTCGCTCCTGCTCTTCCCTGGGCAGGCTCCAGGTCCTCCTGGCATTTCTTCACCCCCCTCCCCACCAGCTCTTTTCACCGGGAATCCTTCCCGGTGCCCTCGCCCATAGCTCTTCCCCTGCAGCTCCTCCATCCCGGCTGGAATTCCGGGTGGTGGATCTCTTCCCGATGGAACCCAGGATTGTCCCCTGTTGGATCCAGGCGGGTTTGATCCCCCTCTGCCCCTGAAGCTCGTCCAGCTGCTCCCTGAGCCACAGGCTGAGCTCTCCCAGCTCCTTCCCGAGCAGCCCCGGCCAGGCTGTCCCAGAGAGGACACCGGGAGCGTCTCTGGGCAGGGAACCGAAAACCTTGTGGCTTCCCGTCCTCTGACACAAAGAACTCTCACGCCCAGCTCTCTGAGCTCCCAGGGGAGCTCCTTGCAGGCTCCTGATGCTCAGCACGGGGCAGGGTGGCCATGCTGGATCCACACACAGAGGGAATTCCCTTCGTTCCTCTTTGCCTGGGATGGGTTTTGTTCCCCCCGGGTCGGGGCTACCTCTGTTCCTCGCAGCTCCTTTTCCTGCTGGGCCTGAGGGTTTTTGTTTTGTTTTGTTTTGTTTTGTTTTGTTTTTTCTGGTGTCACACACAGCCACTAAAACACCAAAGATTTCGTGGCACTGCCGGGAGCAGCCCCCCCCTGCCCCATTCCAGGTCACCCAGACCCCAACCCACGCCATGCCCACCGGTGGGAAGCTCCACAGAGGGTGTCTCAGCAGCAAGGTGGGCTGTGTGTGGGGGGGTGGGAGTTGCTGCTGAGCCCCCTTCCAAACCTTCCAAACCTTCCAAACCTCCCAAACCTTCCAAACCTCCCAAACCTTCCAAACCTTCCAAACCTTCCAAACCTTCCAAACCTCCCAAACCTTCCAAACCGGGCGGGAGCGCCGGGAACTCTCTCCTCCCCCCCGCCCCTTGCAAAGGGCTGCCGATCCAGGAGAGGCTCTGGAGCCCTTTGATCTCTTCCCCTGGCACCGAGGCCGCATCCTCTTGTGCTGATGCAATCAGAGCCCGGGCAGGGAAGGCGAGGAGTCCGTCCCGTGCCCGGAGGAGCCGCCGCCGCTTCCCGGGAGCGCTGGGCTGTGCTGGCACCGCTGGGCTGTGCTGGCACTGGGCTCTGCTGGCACCAGGCTCTGCTGGCACTGGGCTCCTCTGGCACCTTCCCGAGGGGACAGCAGTGCCCCGGAGCAGCCGGCGGTGCCAGGAGTGGTGCCGGAGCCCGGAGGGGACCCGTGCTGGCCGCGGGGATGCCGAGGCTCTTGGGCCGGCCAGGAGCCTGCTGAGGGAGGCAGATGGGGCTGTTGGAGGACACCGGGGGGGTCCCAGCTTGGGCTGGATGGGGGGGACCCACCCATTTTCACCCCTGGATTTTTTTGGGAGCAAACCCGGAGCCGTGTCCCGAGGAGAGGGCGGTGAGGAGGAGCGAGCTCTCCCGGGGACTGAGGACCAGAAGGAGCAGGTTTGCCCCTCCAGAGGGGCAATGAGATGTCTGGGGCTCCAGCTCAGCCCAAATCCTGATTTTCCATGGGCCTAACCCCGCTGTGGGGAGCACGAGGCGCTGCCTCTCCTTTGCAGTGGCTGTGGATTTCCCTGCCGGTCACTCCGAGGTTTCCTGGGGACACCTCGCGCTCCCCGGAGCCTCCCGCTGCTCCTCGGGGTGGGCTTTGGGGCCAGCCAGGTGGCTGCTGGCCCCAAAATGACTGCCAGAGGTTTCCAGCCCTGCCAGAGCCCACTCAGCATCCCCCTGGCCCCCTGGTGAAGCTCCTCAACCCCACCTCGTGCTGCCCCACGTGCTGTGGGGCCCGTGGGGTGTGCCCAGCCCTGCCTGCACCCAGCACGCGGTGTGCTTTAGGATTTGGTTCCTTCTGCCAGCCACCCATCCCAAATTTAGGCCCCAAACCTCCCTGAAATCACCCCTTTTTCCCCCGCTCGTGGTTTTGCCTCCAGGGCAATCCCTGGATCTGCCATCCCTGGATCTGCCATCCCTGGATCTGCCACCCCTGGAGCTCCTTTCCTGGAGCTGGGGAGCAAAGAGGGGATGTCTGGGCACTGACCCACCCCCCAAAAAAGCCGTGGGTCCCACCCCCAGAGCTGGGGGGTGCTGCTTTTGCCGTTTTGGTTTTTTTTTTTTTTGTGGGGAGCAGCGTTTTTGTCCCTGATTAAACCCAGAGCCCCGAGGGCAGGGCGGGGTCACACGAGGTGCCCGACTCGGGGCTGACTCTGGGATTACTCCGGGATTTCCTATTTCTCGAGCTCCCCCTTTGTGATCTCCCCGTGCTTTCAGCAGAGGCCCTTTCGTGTGGTTTCTCCTCCTTAAGTGTTTTTTTAATTTGAGCGAGTTCCCCCCCTCCGGCTCCTTTTCCTTCCCTGGGAGCGGCTCCGGAGAAAAGACCTTTTTTTTTTGTTTTTGTTTGTTTTTTTTTCCCCTTTCATCCCGGCAGGAACGTTTTCAGTTCCTCCACCCCGGTGAATTCTGAGCCCCTCCCGGCGAGGGAGGGGGAGGTGGGGTTTGTGGAGGTTTATGAAGGTTTTTAAAAGTTTATAAAGGAGAGGGGTTGTTAAAAAACACCCGCCCTGGCTCTGGGTGCTGCTGGGCGTCGAGGTGAGGGATGCAGGCAGGGATGCAGGCAGGGATGCAGGCAGGGATGCAGGCAGGGATGCAGGCAGGATACAGGCCTTGGAGGGAACCCTGGGAACATCGGGGACTCCTCCTCCTCCTCCCACACGGCCTCAGGCCGGGGATGGTTCTGTCCTGCACGTGGTAAATTAGGGGTAAATTAAGCACAGATTTTGGGGGAAATCCCCTGGGGCAGTGGGTGCTCCATGGGGGGGGGAAAATGGGATGGGCTCAGGTGTGTAACTGGAAATATTTCAGGATTGTAACTGGGACAATTTCAGGTGTGCAAAAGGGCTGTTTCACGTGTGCAATTGGGGGGATTTCAGGTGTATCACTGGCACCGTTTTGGGTATGTAGATGGGCTATTTCAGGTGTATAACTGGGCTGTTTCAGGTGTATAACTGGACTATTTCAGGTGTATAACTGGAAATATTTCAGATGTGTAAATGGACTATTTCAGGTGCATAACTGGTACTATTTCAGGTGTATAACTGGGACTATTTCAGGTGTATAACTGGGACTATTTCAAGTGTATAACTGGAACTATTTCAGGTGTATAACTGGGCTGTTCCAGGTGTATAACTGGTACTATTTCAGGTGTATAACTGGGCTGTTCCAGGCGTGTGAGTGGGACTGTCCCAGGAGGTCACGCCAGGACGTTCTGATACCACCCTGCCACGCCCCTCCCGGCTCCCGAGGTCCCCCCCTGTGCTTCCCCGAGCCTGGCAGCGACTGATCCCAGCCCGGTGTTGTCCCCACAGCCGCCGTGAGCCCCTGCACCTCCCCACGGGTGCCCCAGGCCGTCCCCATGGACCTGAGGATCGGGCAGCGCGTGGTCAAGCCCGGCTCGGACACGGCCCTGCTGGCCCTCAAGCACACCCAGCAGCTCCAGCACCAGCTCTTCCTGGCCAGCCTTCACCAGCAGCAAGTGGAGCAGCTCGCCCACCAGCACGTCAGGGTATGGGGGGGTGGTTTTTTTTGGGGGGGGGGTTTACACCCACTTTTTGGGTGAGAACCCGATGCTTCGGAGTTTGGGACCCTGATGGGTGAGGCTGGGGGGGTCTCCAGAGGGGGGTTAGGAGGGTTTTGGGGGGGCAGGGTTGGGGAGGGAGGCTCAAGTGCCCACGTCATTGTCCCCACAGGTGGCCATGGAGTCCCCGCACCACGAGGCTGAGCCGGGGCAGCAGGAGCAGGAGCTGAGGCAGATCCTCAACAAGGACAAGAGCAAGAGAAGTAAGGCCCCCCAAAATCAGGGCCCCCTGGCCCCCAAATCAAGGCCCCCTGGCCCCCAAAATCTGGGCCCCCTGGCCCCCAAAATCAGGACCCCCTGGCCCCCAAAATCTGGGGTTGGGTCATGGTGGGGGGAGAGGGAGATCAGAGGGGCTTCTACGGGGAGATCCTGCCCTTATCCAGACCGAGCTCTGCCTTCACCTGTCCAGCTCAGACAGTGGGACCCCCGGGCTGGGTTTGCAGCCCCCCCTGTCCATGGCAGGGCTCGGTGGGACCCCCAGACTGGGTTTGCAGCCCCCCCTGTCCATGGCAGAGCTCCCCGGGCTGGCTTTGCAGCCCCCCCTGTCCATCTGCGATCTCCCGGCGCCATCTGGTGCCGGCACTGGTGGAACTGGGTGGGAGGGGCTGGATGTTTTGGGGATGCGCTCCCGATTTCGGGACGTGGAGGGGGCTCTGCCCGGCACCCAGAGGTGCCCCCGAGGCCCCGGGGGAGCTGTGGGGGCCCCGCAGGGACCCCTCCCCAGCGCTGCCGGTCCCTCAGGTGCCGTGGCCAGCACGGTGGTGAAGCAGAAGCTGGCCGAGGTCATCCTCAAGAAGCAACAGGCGGCCCTGGAGAGGAGCAGCAACCCCAACCCCCCAGCCCTGCCCTACAGGTGACACCCCGGTGTCCTCCAGCCCCCCTGGGGGTGTGTGGGGGGGGGATGCCCCCCAAAAAACCCGGGAAAGCTCAGCTTGGGAAGGGACTCTGATGAAGATTGGGGTGGGGGTCTGCCTGTAGGTCTCTGGAGCCTCTGGACCCCGAGGGGCCCCCCCCTGCCGTGCTCAGCACCTTCCTGCCCCCCGTCCCCAGCGCCCCCCTGGACCCCCCGGAGCATTTTCCTCTGCGGAAAACAGGTCAGTCCCTTTTTTTGGGGGGAGAGATAACGTGGGGGGGAACACCAAATCCCTCCCAGGAGCTGGGAACTGAGCCCACCCAGCCCTCCCAGGCCTGAATAACCCCCCTTGTGCTCCCCTGGCAGCGTCTGAGCCCAACCTGAAGGTGCGGTGCAAGCCCAGGAAGTGCCTGGACCGGCGCAAGAACCCCCTGACCCGCAAGGAGAGCGCTCCCCCCTCGCTCAAGAGGCGCCCACCTGACGCCCTCGGTGAGAGCCCTGCCCAGAACGGGCTTTGGGATGGGCTTTGGGGCCGTCCTGGAGCACCCACAGCCTGCCCAGATCCCAAATGGGGGCTGGATCCCCGCCCTGCAGCCTCTACCTGGAGCTGAGGGGGGCTCTGAGCCAGGGGAGGGCCTCACCCCTGCAGCTTTTGGGGGGTCCAGGGTGGACCTGAAAGGATGGGAAGGTCCCAGGCCCTGGGCAGATGTGGCTGCTCGGGGTTCCTCACCCTGGGGGTGCTCCCTGTGCCCGGTGGAGGCGGCTCCGAGGGGGGATTTGACCCCTCTGGAGGGCGGGGGGGCAGCTCTGGGAGGGCAACAAGGGGCTGTGCAGCCCTTTTTCTGGGGGGTTGTGCCCCTCACCCCCGTTGTGTGTCCCCCCTCACCTTCCCAGACTCGTCCCCCAGCAGCAGCAGCACCCCCGTGTCGGGGTGCAGCTCCCCCAACGACAGCCTCCCCTCGGAGCACGGAGCCCTTCCCAGCGCCTCGGGAATGGCCCACGAGGTGAGCTCTGCCAGCCCAGGATCCTTAACTTCCCTTCCTTCCCAACCCAGGATCCTCATCTCCCCTTCCCAGCCCGGGCTTGTGTCCCCCCCCACATCCCAGGGACCTCCATCCCAGCCCCACTGACCCCCTTCCCTGCTCTCCTGGGATTCTCAGCTGCTCCCAGCCCTCCTTCCCACCCTGCATTCCCTGTCCCCTGATGTGTCTGCTGTCCCCTTGGGTGTCCCCCTGGGTGTCCCTTGCTCCTAGCCCTCCTTCCCACAGAGCATTCCCTGTCCCCTGCTGTCCCCCTGAGTGTCCCCAGTGTCCCTTGCCCTGGCCCTGGGTGTCCCCACAGGCAGCTGGGGCTCAGCCACCCCCCTGTACCCCCCCCTGCCCAGGGGGTGCCGGTGCCCCCCGGGCCTGTGAGGGCTCTGAGAGCTGCCAATGTCCCCGCAGCCCCCCCTGGCCCAGCGGCTGATGATGCAGGAGAGCTCCCTGGCCCAGCTGGCCCTGCAGAGCGCGGCCTCCCTGCCAGCCATCACCCTGGGGCTGCCAGCCACCTCCAGCGCCAGGGTAGGCACCCGAAACGGGCCCCTGGGGGGGGCACAGGGGCAGCCCCTCCTGATGGGACCGGGGTTCCTGCTGGGCTTGGGGTCCCTGCTGGGTGTTGGGTGCCAGGAGAAACCCCTCCTGTTGGGTTTGGGGTTCCTGTTGTGTCTGGGGTGCCTGTTGGATCTGGGGTTCCTGATGGGTTTGGGGTTCCAGGAGAAGCCCTTCCTGCTGGGTTTGGGGTTCCTATTGGGTTTGGGGTTCCTGCTGGGTTTGGGGTTCCTATTGGGTTTGGAGTTCCAGGAGAAGCCCTTCCTATTGGGTCTGGGATTCCTATTGTATTTGGGGTTCCTATTGGGTTTGAGGTCCCTGCTGGGTTTGGGGTTCCTGCTGGATTTGGGGTTCCAGGAGAAGCCCTTCCTGCTGGGTTTGGGGTTCCTATTGGGTTTGGGTCCCTGCTGGGTTTGGGGTTCCTATTGGGTTTGGGTCCCTGCTGGGTTTGGGGTTCCTGCTGGGTTTGGGGTTCCTGCTGGATTTGGGGTTCCAGGAGAAGCCCTTCCTGCTGGGGCTGGAGTTCCTATTGGGTTTGGGGTTCCTGTTGGGTCTGGGGTTCCTATTGGGTTTGGGTCCCTGCTGGGTTTGGGGTCCCTGCTGGGTTTGGGGTTCCTGCTGGGTTTGGGGTTCCAGGAGAATCCCTTCCTGCTGGGTTTGGGGTTCCTATTGGGTCTGGGGTTCCTATTGGGTTTGAGGTCCCTGCTGGGTTTGGGGTCCCTGTTGGGTCTGGGGTAGGATGTGCCATCCCCTCCTCGTGCTATGCTGACCCAGCCTTCCTCCTCCTCCTCCTCCTCCTCCTCCTCCCCCTCCCCAGGGCGATGGGGACCGCCGGCCCCTGCCCAGCCTGGCTCACCGTGTGCCGGTGCTGAACGGGCCGGTGCTGCCGGGCAGCCACTCGCCCGTGTTCCTCCCCGCCGGGCTGGAGCAGCACGAGCCCCTGTCCCCCCGGCTGCAGCCCCTCATCATCCTCGAGCCCTCGGTCACGCACGCCCCGCTGGTGGCAGGTGAGGGCTGGGGGGGACACTGGAAGGGGATTGTCCCGCCCTGCCCGGACCTGGGGGGGGCCTTTCCTGAAATTTTTAGGGTGTTTTGGGCACCAAAAGGGTTTTGAGAGTGGCCAAAAGAGGCAACGATGGTGGGGAAGGGCCTGGAGGGGCTGAGGGCGCTTGGTGTGTCCAGCTGGAACTGAGGGGGGACCTCACTGGGGTCTGCAACATCCTCAGGAGGGGCAAGCCCTGAGCTCAGCTCTGGGGGGACCCAGAGAAGGGCTGGAGCTGTGCCAGGGCAGGGTCAGGTTGGATTTTGGGAAAAGGTTCTTCCCCCCAGAGGGTGTTTGGGCACTGAACAGGCTCCCCAGGGCGGTGGGCACAGCCCCGAGCCTGCCAGAGCTCCAGCAGCATTCAGATGATGCTCTGGGGCACAGAGTGGGATTTTTTGGGGGTGCCCTGGGCGGGGCTGAGGGCTGGACTGGGGGTGGGTGGTCCTGGTGGGTGGGTTCCGTGGTGACTCCGAGTGAGGTGGGCACAGGCAGGGCTGCTGTGGGGGTGGCAGATGGGTGTCCCCCTCTGCCTCTCAGCTGTCCCCCCCCCATCCTGTCCCTTGCAGTGCCAGGCCTGGGCACGGTGCCCTTCCCCTTCGGCCCCTCCCTCATCCCCGCGGAGCGGCTGGCGCTGCCCGGGCACCACAAACCCCTGGGCAGGACCCGCTCGGAGCCGCTGCCCCAGAACCCCAAGGCCATCCAGCAGCACCTGGTGTACCAGCAGCACCACACCCAGTTCCTGGAGAGGCTCAAGCAGCAAACACACCTGGGCAAGGTGAGACTCAGGCGTTATTGGGGGGGGGGGTGGTCCTTGAGGGGCTGAGGGTGCTTGGTGTGTCCAGCTGGAGCTGAGGGGGGACCTCACAACTTCCTCAGGGCGGGCAGGCCCTGAGCTCAGCTCTGGGGGGACCAAGGAACAGCCTGGAGCTGTGCCAGGGGGGTCAGGTTGGATTTTGGGAAAAGGTTCTTTCCCCCAGAGGGTGGTTGGCACTGAACAGGCTCCCCCAGGGCGGTGGGCACAGCCCCGAGGCTGCCAGAGCTCCGGGAGGGTTTGGATGATCCTCTGGGGCACAGGGTGGGATTTTGGGGGGGTCCTGGGCAGGGCTGAGTGTTGGACTGGGGATGGTCCTGGTGGGTCCCTTCCAAATCAGGAGCTTTTTGTGGTGGCTCTGGGAGAGGCTGAGCCCTCCTGGAACGGGGTGTCCTGTGCTCCCTGTCCCCTCTGGGTGCTCCCTGTCCCCTCCCTATTCCCTCTGTCCCCTCTGGGTGCTCCCTGTCCCCTCCCTGTCCCCTGTGTCCCCTCTCTGTGCTCCCTGTCCCCTCTGGGTGCTCACTGTCCCCTCCCTGTCCCCTCCCTGTCCCCTCCCTGTCCCCTGTGTCCCCTCGCTGTCTCCGGGGCTGCAGCGCATGGCCAAGCCGAGCGAGAAGCCCCGGCTGCGGCAGATCCCGTCCTCGGAGGACATGGAGGCCGAGGGGACCCTCCCCGAGGCTGCCCCGGAGGGCTCTGACCCCGCCAGGACACGCGTGGAGCCCCCCAGGCTGGGCAGCAGCGGGAAGGAGCCCGAGAGGACGCAGAAGGTGCTGCAGCCTCAGGACGAGCTGGTCCTGCAGCAGGTCCGGGGAGGGGGCTGGCAGGGGTGGGCACGGCCCCAGGGGAAAGGGGGGATCTGGGCAAAGAGGGGGGCACCGGGGGTGGTTTTGGGTCCCTTAACGGGCTCGGGATTGGGCTGCAGGAGGGCGAGGCTGAGCTTGGTGTCCCTCCCTCTGCATCCTCCCCAAACTGCTGGGCATTGTCCCCAAACTGCTGGGCGTTGTCCCCAAACTGCTGGGCTTTGTCCCCAAACTGCTGGGTGTTGTCCCCAAATTGCTGGGCTTTGTCCCCAAACTGCTGGGCATCGTCCCCAAACTGCTGGGCATTGTCCCCAAACTGCTGGGCTTTGTCCCCAAACTGCTGGGCTTTGTCCCCAAACTGCTGGGCTTTGTCCCCAAATTGCTGGGAATCGCCCCCCGATTGTTGGACTTTGTTCCCCCACATTGCTGGGCGTTTTCCTCACACTGCCAAGCATCGCCCCACCAAATCGCTCAGCATTGTCCCCAAATGGCTGGTGTTTGTCCCCAAATCACCGATATTTGTCCCCAAATCGCCGCTGTTTGTCCCCATCCCAGCACTGCGGGGCTGAACCAGCAGGGAGCAGCAGACACTGGGACATTGTCCCAGCTCCTCTGAGCTGTGACCCCCCAGCCCCTGCAGGCTGCAGGACCCCCTCCCTGGTGCCCTCCCGGTGGTCTCTGTGCCCCCCCCCCCCTCCCCAGGCCTATCTATGGGATTCCTACCAGCGGGTGCAGCAGCAGCTCCTCAAGCGCCAGCCCTTGGACCCCCCCGTGGTCCCCACGGGGCACAGACCCCTCTCCAGGGCACAGTCGTCCCCTGCCACTGCCAGCGTGTCCCTCCCCACCCAGGACACCCCCAAGGGCCTGGCCCTGCCCGTGCAGGAGCAGCCAGCAAAGCCACACTTCACCACAGGTACCTGGGGGGGGGCTGTGGGGGGGACCTGGGGGTGTCCCCAGGGCAGCCCTGGCACCAGTCCCGGTCACTGCCAGCCCTGGGAGATGTGGGAGGGACGGGAACAGGGCATGAGGGTCCCGGGTTTTCTTTGCCTGAGCTCAGGTGGCTTTTCCAAGTAGGACTTTTGGCCACTTGGTCCGTCTCCCTTAGGAATCCAAGGCAGGATTTGCTTGGAGCGTGTTGGGATGGAGAGACCCCCTGGTTTGGGATGGAGAGACCCCCTGGTTTGGGATGGAGAGACCCCCCTGGTTTGGGATAGAGAGGCCACCTGGTTTGGGATGGAGAGACCCCCTGGTTTGGGATAGAGAGACCCCCTGGTTTGGGATGGAGAGACCCCCTGGTTTGGGATAGAGAGACCCCCTGGTTTGGGATGGAGAGACCCCCTGGTTTGGGATGGAGAGACCCCCTGGTTTGGGATGGAGAGACCCCCTGGTTTGAGATAGGGACACCTGTTTTTTGGGACAGAGAGGACCATTTTTTGGGACAGAGGTCCACGATTTGGGACCTCCATGCTTTGGGATGGAGTTCCCCCGATGTTTTGGGGGATAGAGAGGCCTGTTTTTTGGGGCAGAGGCTCCATGGTTTGGGATGGAGTTCCCCCCACATTTTGAGATAGAGAGGCCTGTTTTTTGGGGCAGAGGCTCCATGCTTTGGGATGGATCCCCCCCACGGTTTTGGGTGTGTGTGTGTGGCAGGGCTGGTGTACGACTCGGTGATGCTGAAGCACCAGTGCTCCTGTGGGGACAACAGCAACCACCCCGAGCACGCCGGGAGGATCCAGAGCATCTGGTCCCGCCTGCAGGAGCGGGGGCTGCGCGGCCGCTGCGAGGTCAGGGGGGCAAGGGGGGTGGTTGAGGGGGGTCCTGGTGGATCCCTGCCCGGCTCAGGGGATCCTGAGCTCCCTCCCAGACCCCTGGATGTCACCAGGGGGGTGCCCAAGCCCAAACCCCCCCTGTGAGGAGCAGGGGTTGAGCCCCCGGGGTTGCTGCCCTGGATGTGCCACCCTCACCCTGGAGGTGGACAGGGTGGGAGCAGCTGTGTCACCCCCCCAGCTGGGTGACACCCCCCACCCTGTTTCCCCCCCCCCCAGTGCCTGAGGGGCCGCAAGGCCACCCTGGAGGAGCTGCAGTGCGTGCACAGCGAGCGCCACGTGTTCCTCTACGGCACCAACCCCCTCAACCGCCTCAAACTGGACAATGGGAAGCTGGCAGGTGGGTCTGGGGTCTCCCCCCTCCCTGTCCCTGCAACTCCCCTGGGTGCTGAGCTTTTCCCCCCTCCCCAAGCCCCCACCCCCCTTGGTGTCCTCAGTGTCCCCTCTGCCCACAGGGATCCTGTCCCAGCGGATGTTTGTGATGCTGCCCTGTGGAGGGGTGGGGGTAAGTGCCGCAGCCCTGCTTGGTTTTTGGGGGGAGGCTCCTTCCCTCCTTCCCTCCCTC